TCAATTTATTTATGTAATTCATATTTATTTCTTGGTCTGTGATAGTTATTGTAAATAAACAGTGGGGTGATTAGTGAAAAAGTGAGGGTAGTTATATATATTGGGTAAATTGGGTAGATACCATGCCTATATGGTCCATGTTGATTCAAATATGTTTGTTATGTTTGCTTTACTTGCACAATATTAGAAACCATGCCTATAGGGTCTAAAAATGGCTTTAATAATAGAGATCATGCCTATAGGGTTAAAATCAGCTCTATAGATACCATGCCTATAGGGGTTTTACTTTGGTTAAATGAATTTTGTTTAGTTATCTCGTGCTTAACTAGAAATCATGCCTATAGGACTTAAAACAGTTCTGTTAAAATAAATCAGTTCAAATTCGTGTTTATATATTCTAAATCGGCTTAATTAATTAATCTGTCTGTTTCTTTAATAAGCTTTCAAACACTGCCTCAAATTAATACTGTTAGAAAGCATGCCTATAGGATCTCAAGTTGTCGTTTAAAAATCGTTTTACTATATTCCTAATCAATATATACATCATGCTCTTAGGACGACACTGTTGTGCGTTTAGGCAAGCCTCTAGGGCGATTAAAATCCTGCAACTAGAAAACTGCGCTTTGTTATTTGAGACTGCTCAAATTTAACAGGTCTAAAATTAGTAGGTAAGCCTAATAGGTCTTTGACACTTCAGTCGTAATTCAATGTTGTATACTTCTGCTCACCTAGATATCATGTTCTAATGTTCTTTTTTTAAATACTTGAAACTGTTGTTTGAGACGTGCACTTACTTGTTATGTTTGTGGAGGCAAATATGAGCCTTTAATTGTCCCCTCTTTATGTGCAGTCCTAATTGGTTTTGATTGACGTTTAGACTTTTCTCCTTTAAATACCTTAGGATGGTCTAGAACTACCCAAAAGTAGAGGTCTTAAAATACCTCTAGGGCCACAAGGAAGGGACGGGTAGTGCACGCATAGGGCATTTTTCAAGGTTACTAGAACGCTTTACGCTATGACCAAGGGGAGGGAGGGGGAAATTGGGTAGTAAGGATATGATGACTATATGCTAATGTCACGTGTAGCCCCTTATTGAGGAGTCATTACCGGGCATTGTGTGGGGTGATCATGTAGGCTAACCAACCTAGGACCCCTCTTTGATAAATTTTACTTTCCTCTATATCTGTGCAACTTGTTCAAGTATTTTCCCTTTGTTTCATTACTTGAGTCATACAATGCCAAAACATGCCTTTATTTGCAAGTATGTGTTAAAACTATTTATTTGTTAAAAGGACTAATTCACATAAGTATAAATTCGGCCGGGACCCACCGTTGTGGACTGAGAGGGGTGCCTAACACCTTCCCCTTAAGGTTATTTTGAGCCCTTACCCTAAATCTCTAGTACTGCAAACTAGTCTAAAGAGTTAATCTCTCTAGGTGCCCTAACGCACTATAATCCGTTAGGTGGCGACTCTTCAAATACCCCAAATCCCAAAAGGAAATGAGTTATTACCCCCCATGAACGTCGGAACCCGGACTTTCTCCGCGGGGGAAAAAAGGGGGCGCGACAACAAGCCTTATTTAAATCAGTATAATATACAGAAACTCGTCATTTTCCATTCTTTTGTGGAAATACCACGGTATTAGCTAACTAGTCAGGGTACTTACCTCTCGTATTGACCCAATTTTTAAAAACTTTTGTACCTCATCCTGGATCACTTGATTTTTGAAGGCCCATTTCTTCCTCTTCTTTGCTTGAAAGGTAGGTGAATAGATCCTCATTCAGCTTGTGAGTCATCACCTCTGGTGGTATACCTGTCATATCTGAGTGCGACCAAGCAAAGGAATCTGCGTTAGCACGTAAAATTCAGTTAACTTACCTTTTATTTCTGGGCTAAAATTTGCTCCAATGTAAACTTTTCTGTTTGGCTAGTTGACAAATAATTTTATAGCTTTGAGCTCCTTGGTAGTTGTTTTAAAATTTTCATTTTCCTCAGGCTCTTGAATCACGTCAGGTCTTGAATCGAAATCAGTCTATCCTTGCATGTCTTCAGCTGAGATTTTCGCAGTAGTATCCCCAACTGAATTCAGTAATTGCTATTTTACATCTGCATCATTGGCTACTGTGCTCGCGATCATTATCGAGTTAATACCTCATGAATCTTGTTGATCTACACGGATTTGACGGATTCCCCACTATGAAGGAAATTTGATGACTTGATGTAGTGTGGATGGGACAACGTACATATGATGAATCCACGGTCTTCCCAGAATTATATTATAGGCCATGTCCGCGTCTATCACCTGGAACTTTGTATCTTTGCCGACCCCTTTAGAAAATGTGGTAAGTACAACATCCTCTTTCATAATAACTCTTGAATTGTCAAACCAAGACAAGGACCACGCTTTTGGAATGACCTTATCATTAGCTTGCATTTCATTCACCGCCCTCAGTAAAATGATGTTCACTGAGCTACCTGGATAAATCAAAACTCTTTTTGCATTAGTATCATGTACGAGTAAAGATATTACCAGTGCATCGTTCTGAGGAATCATCAAGCCGTCCACGTCTTCATCTTCGAATGTTATACTGATCCCATCCAAGACTTGACGAACTCGCTTGCATGAGTGACTGTGACTTTTGATGTCTTTTTTGCGGCTGTATATGTTACTCCATTGACCTCGTCTCCTCCAATTATATCGTTGACTGTTCTCTTTGGTGATGGAGGATTTGGGGGTTCCAACCTGTTCTTCATGTATGATTGTCTTCCTTCCTCACTGAACAGATCAGTTAGAAAACACTGCTTTAATAAATGTTCGACCTCTCCTCGCAAAAGCCTACAATCAGTTGTTCTGTGGACATTATAATTATGAAACTTACACCATAAATCTGGATTTCTTTTGCTTGGATCTGATCTCACTTCTTTTGGTCATCACACCTTATCCCCCATACCTCTTAAAATAGCCACTAATTTTGAGGTACGGATGTTAAAACTGTGATCCCCTATTCTTGCCTACGGATTGGAATCTTTAGTTCGGGCATCCTGCTCCTTTTTGAACCTTGATGAACTATTCGCGTCTTTTTTCCTTGATCGTGAGTAAAATCACACATTCTCCTATTTAGATCGAGAGCCTTTCCCTGCAGGTCCCATGTACAGATCGTACCTATTTTTACTAGGTATTCTTTTTGATTCAGACGTCTCGAACCTAGTGTTTCTTCGGTCCTCGGCTGTGCGACCGTATCTTCTTCTATCCGCAGCTTCGTACTATACCTATTGTACACATCGTTCCAAATAGTTGCAGGAAATTCTCGCATGCTTTATTTCAACATCCTCGTGGCTTCTGAATTTTTCTCGTTCAAATTGATCACAAACGCCATAGCCGTCCAGTTATCAGGTACTCGAGGCAACATCATCTCTCCCGCTGGAATCTATCTATGAATTTCCTTAGCAATTCTGTATTCCCTTGTTTAACCTTAAAGATGTCTTCCATCATTTTTTCAACTTTTTGAGCTCCCGAATATGCTTTTATAAATGAATCTACAAGCTCAGCAAAAGAGTCAATAGAATTTTCACGTATAAAAGAATACCATGTTAACGCTCCTTTCGTGAGTGTTTCACCAAACCTTTTAACCAAACACGATTTGATTTCTTTCTTGGTTTAAACATTGCCATTCACGCCAGTAGTGAACGCGGTTACATGATCTCGGGGGTCAGCTGTTCCATCATATTTGGGAATATCAGGCATTCTAAACTTTTTTGGAAATTGGTAAAGGAGTTGCACTTGGCTTCCAGGATTATTGTTAATATTTGTAAATATCCACCCTTTTGATCATGGGTGGCACACCATGTATTTGCTCTATACTATCGTTTTGCTCCTTCAACTGTTTCTGCAAAGTTAGCACTAAAATTTGTAAATTCGAATTATTTGGTCTACATGACTCTTCATCACGAGATTCATTTGGAATTTCTCCACTTCCAGAATTATCAAGCCCTGAGTGCGGGTTCTCCAAGGTTGTTGAATTAACTGATGGAGGAGTTTGCGTCGCATTGGGTAATCCTTTGACAAAAGCCTGTAGTGCACTATTCAGTGCTCTGCAATCAATTGCTTTAGAGCGTCCTGCTCTACGGTTTGGTCGTCTCTTTGTTGATCATCAGCGCGCGAAGCAGACCTTTTAGGTGAACTTCCACGGGATTGCTAAGGGGATCCCGTAGGTGTGCTGTGTGGTGGAGTTCCACCTTGTTGGTTGAGCTGGTTATTGTCGTTAACGGTTGACATTTGTGGTCCAAAAATATAATTGGAAAGTGAAAAGATTATCAGATTTCCGGCAACGGAACCAATTTGTTAAACCCAAAAATAGAGTTCTCGGTCAAAGTCAATATTTAGAAAAAATCGGGTTACTAATAGCTAAGATTTACTTCACTTTCCCTACAATTTGGAAGAATACACCAAGAAATGGAAATTATTGACACTATTAAATAGATTGATAATCACTCCCCAAATTATGGTTTAGAACTTTCACAATAAAGTTAATGATTGCCTAAATTCCAATAATTTTCTGATGCTTTTACAAATGAGATTTCAGTCCTTATATAGGAGCATACAATTATAACGGTTCCCCTACTTAATTCAGGTTCACTAATGGTATTAATTGCCTTGATTTTCCATTACCATATACAAGCGTAACAGAAATATTTATGATTAAAGATTCCTCATAACTTTACCGATTCTCCTTTCTTATTTATGACAGATTCATGTATCTTCCCTTTTTTACAGCGCTTTATCATCTCGTTCCTGTTTCTCCTTTTACAGCTGTCAGGCCCGACTTTTTCTTTAGTATAACCCATTGGCGTTTCTCTCGTGCCTTTTCCGCATTTTACAATTCATCTAATTTAAGGCGCCACTTGTCATTATACCAATGTTCCACGTATCATGCCCTGTCATCTTGTAAATCCATATATATGTCGTGTCTTTTTTCCACCAATACACCGGCACTCACGGGAAGGTTACGTTTCTCCTCTTCTTAGCAAGAGGCTGTAAGCCTTGAATTAATGAGTTGCCAACAAATATTTTCTCATATTAATGACACTTCATTAATGTCTCTAAGAAAGACAAGACGATCAATTCATCTGCACATATGTGCTTTTTCAGCCTATGAAGTCAATGAAATTTTCGCTCACTCATAACGTATATGTCTAAATTCAATTAATTGCTGTCTCTATTTATCCCCTACAACCTTCTCTACGGAAAAGGTCAGTTTAAGCCAAACATTGTCGTGCTATCAAAATAAAGGGTGAGGCAAGACTTTTTCTTCATCTTTAGTTAATTAATTTGTTTGTTTTTTAATTGGTTTGTTTCAGTTTTTGCCCCTTTTACTCCTTAATTAATATCTGTGCTTCTATATTTTAGAACGATCTCCATGCTTTTACACTTGTAATTTGTGGGCTGGTAATGACTTCTCTAGTCGGTGACAACAGAACTTATGTTAATTCATACACAATAAGTTCTGTTTGAAAAGCAATTGGAGTGCAATTTGACATACAGATGCAATAACAAAATTGTTATGTCGATTACTATAAACTGTATTTAGAAATTAGAATTACTTAAAAGGCAAAATCAACTGAGGAAGTATGAGCAATGACAACATTTGGGTACAAGTAGAGCAATATGAGATGCAAATTTATGAGCGAAAATTGAGTTAGTCCTCGTTCTTAAAAAAAAATCTTATATTTCAAGAAAAAGGAAGCATCAGTAGTGATTTTTTAAATACTTGAGAGGATTCTCTTAAATGCTTAATGCTTTATAAGGTACGCGTGATATCTACATTGAAGTGGTGGTAATCTATACATCCGAGTGCAGTTTTTTTTATACAATATTTGTAGTTCATATAAATTATGAAAATGGTGCTAATGAAACTTTCAAGTTTACTGCATAATTTTTTTTATCTCTGCAGAAAATATAAATACAAGGATGGCTTGTAACCGGATGAGGGCATTGGATCATATTTGTGTGTTTTTCTGCATATTAGCTGTGACATTAGTAAATTGTAAAACATATCCTCCATCAATAGAATATGGTTGTTTTTTGTTATGTATTGACTATTTACAAGTGGAGAGAGGCTTAGTTCATATTCCTCAGGCGGAGTTAGAAAACAGATGTAGAGATGGAATACCCGAATTTGATTGTGAGATCAAGAGGTCGTATGACAACCATGAGATTGATGATTGTCATGATCCTAAGCGATTCCCAAGCGTTCACTCCCTAGTAAGATAACTTCGCATTTGGAATTGTTTACGGGTATAACTTTATCCTTGTCATTCATCCTATAATAATTTTACTCATGATACATATAAATGGAATACAATGAATGCTTTATTAAACATTGCAACTAATTCTCTTACTTATAGCTCGTAATCTACTACACTAGATGATTCACTTTTTTTAATCAGTTGTATAAGGATTCCTAAATTAGAGATTTGTCTTAGTCATGAAAGACTCAATTTAATATCTTAAAGTTTTTGATTGACTGCTTTCTTGCACATTGAAAACTTTGGTAAGCGCATCATAATTGGTTTCTCGTTTCAATTACCAATTCTGGTTCGCTTGGTAAGTAGAGGCTCGCTAAATGTCGGTATCAGCTTTCAGGATTTTGATCATGTCATTGTGTAAGTTTATTTTGTGCGAGTAATAATACGACTACTGTAATTAATTGTTGGGTATTGTAGTAAACTAAAAAATACAAGAAAAGGTTAAGAATTGAATTGTACTTAGAGTGAATGTCTATCCTTTAGAGAATTTTTGGAGTTTGTTGTTTTGTGGTTAAGTCACTTTTTCCCTATCAATGGAGGGGTTTTATCCCATTGTAATTCATCTCAAAATCAATAGAAAACTCTCTCTCTTTTCTTTGCAATATTCTTCCTTTCTTTTGTTGGTTTATTTCACGTTAGAAGCTCTTTGAAAAGACTAAGGTATATGTAACAACCCGACTGGTCGTTTCGAGCAGTAGCGTCCGGTTCGGTAGTTTGAGGTCATGAGTAACTTCACATAGTGTATTATGACTTGCGTGCACCATTGGCTCGGGTTTTGAGTGGTTCGGAAATGATTTTCAAGAGCGACTCTCGTTTGAGAAGCTCGAAGTTCAAAGAATCGACCAAGGTTTGACTTTTGAGTATTTGACCTCGGATCGGAGTTTCGATAGCTCCGGATGGTAATTTTGGACTTGGGCGTATGCCCGGATTTGTATTTGGATGTTTGTAGAGGGTTTCGGCATCATTTGGCAGATGTTGACAAGTTAAAGGTTTAGAATTTTTTTAAGTTTGACCATGGTTTGACTATAAGGCTATTGGGTTCGGATTTCCGTTTCGGGACTTAGAATAGGTCCATTTTATCATATGGAACTTGCCTGCAAAATTCTGTGTCATTTTGAGTTGATGTGACTTGCTTCGGATGCTTGGTTGTGATTCTAGAAGTTCTTGAAGTTCATTGTGCTTTTCATGCGTTTTGGCGTCCGATTCGTGCTTCTAGAGGTTATTTTGATCTTTTGATCACTCGAGTGAGTTCGTGTGATGTTGTTGGACTGGTGTGGGTGTTTGGTCTGGAGCCTCGGGCGCTTGGCTGAGTTTCAGCTGGGTTTCAGATTGATTTTGTTATGTTGTTGACTGCTGGAAAAAGAAAGAGTTTTTGGCAAAAATCATCCTTGAGCTATGGCCCAAACCTAATGTATATCCTTGTGATACCCTAGTGAACAAAATACATCCCTGTACTATTTAAATTGTTGCAAAAACCATCCTTCCGTTAAGTTATGTCAAAAAAACTAACAGCAGAAGCAAAAGAACATACCAAGCATGTGAGTTTCCCCCTAAAATTTCCAAAACTACCCCTCCCGTCCAAGCAAAAGAGCATACCAAGCCACACCAAAAATATAAGCAAAGAAATGGACCTTTTATTAGTGACTAGGGTATAGTAAAAACCAAGGTTTCAAAATCTTCAAGTGAAAGTGCACAAGACCATCGGACGAGTGCCTTGACTAGAACTAGTTTTCAAGGTGTTTTGAGCTGGTTTGTGATGATTTTTTAGAGCTCTTTTGGACTGTTTTCGAGCAGATTTTCGTGGTTGTTTTTTAGGCTATTTTCGCCTGTTTTTTGCAGTAGTTTGTGGGCTGTTGGGCAGCTACCTTTTGTTGTGTTTTGAGGGTCACTTCAGCTACATTTTTGGGGACGTTTTGTGCTGGTTTTTGGGAACGGTTCGGGGACTATTTTCAGCTTATTTGCAGATGTTTCAGCTGCGTTTTGCTGTGTTTTTTCAGCCGTAAATGGTAGTGTTTTGGATGGTTTTGAGTTGGGATTTCATGGCTGGACTTTCATGAAGGAAGAAGAAAGTTCCAGATTGGCTTTGTGGTGTGAAGATAGTACTCCCTCTGTTCCAGTTTATGTGAACCTATTTCCTTTTCGTTCAAAAAAGAATGACCCCTTTCTAAATTTGGTAATAATTTAGCCTAAACTTACAATTCTACCCTTGATGAGAACCTTTTATAACCACACAAATACTCTGGGGCCCTTTTTGACTTGTTTAGGACCATAAATTCTAAAAGTCTTCATTTTTTCTTAAACTCCGTGCCCAGCCAAACAGGTTCACATAAATTGAAACGGATGAAGTAATATTTTATATGTATATACTAAATTTTGAACACCTTTCACAGAATTACTGACTTCACACTGCCAGTGGCATACATAAACTATAAAATCCTTTAACAAGCTACATAAAATGAGTAGATTATGGAAAGGAACTTTTATTTTTGAAATTACGTAAAAGGAGTAGCTACATAAAATCTGTTTTTGAAGATGGAAGATGATTGGGAGGGAGGGGTAGTTTTGGAAACTTTAGGGGGAAACCCACGTGCCTGTTAGTTTTTTTTGACAAAATTAACGGAAGGATGATTTTTGCCATAATTTTAATAGTATAGGGATGTTTTTTGTTCACTAGGGTATCACAAGGATGAACCTTAGGTTTGGGCTATAGTTTAAGGATGATTTTTGCCATAAACTCAAAAAGAAACAAAGAAAACAGAGAGGGAACGAGAGAAAACAGATCTGGAGAGAACGAGAGCACAAAAACGCAGCTCACTCCTCTTCTTCCTCAATGGTTAATCATCATCTTCACACCCTAAAGCCAATCTGAAACTTTCTTCTTCCTCCATGAAAGTCTAGCCATGATTACCCAAAAATACAGCAGTAACTCCTCATCAAAGCCTCATCTTGTTCACATCGTTTTCATCACGGAGCATCCCTTTAACCACCCAAAACTACCCAAAAAGCGTCACCCATCAACAACCAAAAACCAGCCATAAATCACTACCAAACATGCCCCCGGCCTAGAAACAGCCCATATTCAACCCCAAAAACGACCTTGAATCAGCCTCGAGCGGCTCTCCAAAACAACAAAAACGCCGCTGAAAACAGTCCCCGAACAGCCCTTAAAACCACCCCAAACCACCACCATTTTCAGCTCCAAACTCCAGGCAAAACACAACTGAAACCACACCAAAAACAGCCACCAAAATTAGCTGAAATAGTCTCCAAAATCAGCTCCAAAAACAACCCTCAAATCCAGTAAAACAAGTCCAAAAAAATGTCCCCTCCTTAGCTAAAAACGCAGCAAAGAACCTGTAAAACCCCAACGTAAACCCATCACTATTAGCACTCCCAAACAGCCGTGAATCACCCGTTAAAATCCAGCTGAATCCCAACCTTGTCCCCCCGTTTGGCGTGACGTTCAAGAGGTTCTGTTCGAGGTCTTTTCCGGTCTCGTTCAGCCGAAATCTGGTTTCGGCAAAGTCAGTCGAGGCTGATTGAGCTCCGCCCGACGTTCTGTCCACCTTCAACTTGTCGCCGACACTGTCCTTTTGTAATTCAAACTTGGAGTTTTTTTATATCAATAAAGTGAAGAAAGTTTATTCCAAATGATTGAGCCAATCGGAGGTAAATTTGTAAAGGAAAACCTAATTTGACTATTGATTTGATTGAATTGAGGGAAGTGATTTGCCTAACTTTTTGTGGGGGAAACTACCCTTTAGGATTCGAGTTTATTGTGCTAATTGTGTTATGTGAAAGCCATGTACGAAAGGTGACAAGTGGGTACACAGGCTATATGTGTAGTATTTGACCTATTTAGATTATCTAGACTCTTTCCATGCCTTTAATTGAGTCTCTCATTGTTATTCTGCTCCTACATGCTTTGTTTGACGTTGTTAGTACTTATTGTATTCCTTACTTGCCATTATGCCCTTACATGATTTTGTTGAGGTTATTGCCTTCCTTGTTGTCTTGTTACCTTTTAATTGTTGAGTCCTTTCCATGACTCCGCGCTTACCTTCTATTTGCCTTAGTTGTCCTAATTGCACGCCCTAGTTGTCATGCGCTTCACTGTCCTGTTGCTTTTTGTAATATTTATTATGTTCCTTAATTTTTATGTGATTTCTTAATTGTCGTGTACTCATACCCTATGGTTATAGGAATTCTTGTAAATTGAGTATTGGATTGTTGATGTTATTGATTTATTTATGGATCGGGTTGCGCGGCACAACAGGTGAAATAAGGGTGGATTTATATTGATACCGTGGGATCGGGTTACGCGCCGCAACAACTGAAATAACGGTGGATTAATAGGGTAAAATAAGGAAGAATTACGATATTGACTCTGATTAAATGGTGGGATCGGGTTGCACGCCGCAACATATATATATATATATATATATATATATATATATATACACACACACACACACACACACACACACACTTATTATTATTGATATTTACATGGTGGAATAAGGAAGGATCGTGTTGTACGGTAGGATAGGGTTGTGCGCCACAACAGTTTATGTGTTTTATATTTCTTGTTGTATTGTATTGGCTTTGGTTCGCACGAGATTTTGAGGATCGGTATTCCAGTTTTTACTGGTTTTCAAAGATTGAGTTGTTTTCAATAGTTTACTGCTTTGCCATCAGTTCCTGTTTTTCTTTCCTATTACTATTATTTTGATGAATTAATTTTCAAGATGAATTTACTACGCTGAGTCATTATCTTATACCCTGTTGAGTTGTTAGTAACATAACTGTTTTAAATAAAAGAATAACATGCTTACCTTATGTGACTCTTATGTTAAAACTCGTCGTTTTATTCGGTAACTTACTATTTTTAATAGTCGTCATATTTCACTTTAATCGATTTCTCAACTTAATCTCCTTACCCTATATGATGTTTCTACTTTACTTAAAAAGAAATGCTATTATGTTTTAATATATTAAATTCTATATTCAAATCAGTAGCTTATCTAATGTAATGTTGTATTCTGGGTCGGGCCCAGACCTAAATGGGCTAAACCGG